TTGAATCAATTGGCTTGTGTTCTTCAATTAGTTCTTCGCTTGGCTTATTAACTCTACTTGGTTGGTTTTCTTCACTCGGTTTATCATCACCAACTGGTTTGTTTTCTTCACTTGGCTTTTTATCACTATTTATCTCGTTTTCTTCACTTGGTTTATAGTCATTAATTGGTCTGTTTTCTTCACTTGGTTCATCATCTCTACTTGGTTCATTTTCTTCAATTGCGTTATTATCATTAATTGGTTCAATTTCTTCAGTTGGTCTATTGTCATCACTCGGTCTGTTTTCTTCGCTCTGTTCGTTCTCTCCACCCGGTACAGCCTCGTCACTAGGTTCGATTTCCTCTGGAGGAGTCTGAAAAATTACAAGATTTACACATTCAAGTTTTTTTTATCTCCTGATCGTGCGACCTGACATAATGTCCCCCCCCCTTTTTTTTTTTTTTTTTGGAGTTGGCTTGCATATCACAGAGATTTTATCTTTGGGACATCTGATTCAGACTTAGGTACAACCGGAAAAAAAAAAGAAAGAAAAAGGGTAGGGGGGGGGGGGGGGAGAGTAAAATGTCTTCATTCGGAACGACGAAAGCAAAGATCGCTGAATGAATTATTTGCCGCTCAGTGTCGGACGAACTTAACACGGTGCACTGTTCCAAAGTAGCTAGTATAAACGCTGATCTTCTACCATATCTAATTCATCAGCTTGGTTCACCGACACAAGAATAACGTGGCGTTTGGCGAGGGCCAGCGTTATTAAACGGTTCGAGCGCTGGAATTGTAATCCGGAAGCCCCGAGTTCAATCCCTGCCCAAACAGCTTAGCTGGATTTGTTCTCATTGTTAGTTCAACATTTCAGTCACGCTTGTAAATGGCCAACCGATTTGCCTCCGGCCAGTTAAGATTCTTAACCTTGTGGGCCGCAATAAAAACCATTGGTTTACCAGTAATTGTGCTACTCCTATGGAATCATACATATTTTTGGAAGAGGCCTGACAGGCTGACTTGGACCGAGAGTTACTTCCCGACTTAAGACTGTGTTCTCTGGGCAATTTTCATGGACAGAGATACGTTTTGGTGAGCGTTTCTAATTCCTTCCCTTCACCACACCTCAATCCACTGAGTCGTTGGACAATTAAACAAAAACAACGAGATCAAACAATCATATATTAGTATAGTATATTAGCAGTCACACTTCCGTTAGAAGATTTGAGCTTAGCACCATTTTAGAGTGTTTAGCTGATAGCCTTTCAGGGCTACAGAGCTTTTTTTTCCTTTTATAGCTCAAGAAAGCAAGTTGCAAAACAAAGCTAACTTTCTACACACCTTTCCCGTGGCGTCTTATTCGGAGAAGTGATGACTGTGATTTGACGAACGTGCCTTCTTTCTGAGCTACCTGTCACATTAACCGGCTATCACTGTTAAAACTGAGCTAATGATAACCCTGACCTAACGCTAATATTGGGCTACTGTCAATACTTAGCTAATGCATGTACTCTGCTGATGTTAGTAGTGAGCTAATGCTAATAGGGCGGGAATGTAAATACTGGGCTGATGCTACTACTGAGCTACTGTTAGTACTAAGCTAATGCTAATGCTTATCTAGTGTCAATACTGTTCTGATGCTAATACTACGCTAATGTTAATACTGTTCTGATGCTAATACTAAGCTACTGTTAATACTGTAACGCTGATGTTAATTATAAGGTAATGCTATTAGAGTGTGCAATAGCCAATATTGAGCTCATACAAACACTGAATTGAGCAGGAATCTGAACTGACATGTTGATGCTAAGTTGATAGTAATATGGAGCACACGCTGATACTAATCTAGTCTCCATATACCCAAGCTCACTTTAATACTGAGGTTAAACGCTCTTTTTCAATTAAGCGACGTGGGTCGAAACTAAGAAATTTACTTCGGCCAATCAAGACATTGAATGCACTCCAATAAACCAATAAAACTTTGAAGTACGCGCATGAAGCTGATATAAAGCGCGCAATGTGATAGTCACGATTCGTGTTGGCTTCTAGAGCTTTCTAGACGATTCTAACTTTGAACAGCAAAACAAAACGCAATTCCTTACCAAATCGTTGTTGTCCTCAATAATTTCCTCATCCTTAACTTCTTCGCTTTGCCTAACATTCACACCCTCATCTCCATCATTCTGGTTTACGTTTTCTTCAATTTCTTCGTCCTCTACTTCCTCAGCGGGCAGTTGATCAATTGGCTTGTCCTCCAGGGTTTCTTCAAAAGGAAAATGAATTGCGCACCATCACACATGTCGTCAAGAAAAAATCCCACGATTTCACCGTCTTAACTATCGCATTCAGATTCCTTTCAGCGTTAGAGAATAGAACGATTTTCGTATGACCTTGAAAAATGGTTCCAGTAAGTTTTCGTTATTTGTTTTATCAGCCAATGGATGAAAAGATCAAAACATGGACTCTTCGTTTTCCCGCCAAAGAAAAACCTAATATGGAGAGGGCATTGTTCGATTGGCCAATCGTGTTGCAGTATGACGTCAAAGCGAAGTAACGATTGATTTCTAGAAAGTTCTTTATGCATGAAGTTTTTTCACCCGAGCGTTCGCTCAACCAAACAAAAGCCACGCGTGTTTGTATTCGTTCGATAAAATGAAATCGCTCTATTTCCGTTCGTTTACTGTTTCTCTTTTGTTCGCGCGTTTTCACTTCAAGGTCACACAAAAATCGCTCTAATACGATGTGAAGGTGGTTTTAGTACTCTCCTACAATAATAGATGAATGGTTATAGTTACCATTCGTACACGGAACACAGTATGTCACGCGCCTTACCAGCCACAGGCGAAATTGTTTTTTAACAAGTGACTCACCTCCCGTGTATGGCCTGACTTCCGCATTATTTTATCCAATCGGAAGTCGGTATTCACGTTACTTGCAGCAAACCGGATATGTTACAAAGCAGGTTTGAACGTGGGTTCTAAAACCCGCAGCATCGCTTTTCAATTCGTTTTGAAGCAATATTGCAAAACAAGCCGTTGCACGTTTTTCTTGCCTATTATAAATAAGTTCACAGTACAGGGCACTAACCTCGGTCATCTTGTATTTCCCCTGCAGCGATCTGGTGCTCACCACTCGCATCATACACAGAGGGTTTTACTGACGAACAAAAACGTAGGTAAAAATTAGTGGATGGTCAGCATGAAAAACCACTCGCTGTCATAAAATTAACAGCGTTTCCAACATTACAAGACAAGATACTTGAAACTAAAGTTTAGATTCAATGACGAGGGCCACTAACAGGACGAGATTTGACTTTTTTTTTCGCGTATTCTTAAAAAATACACCCAGGAAAGCCTCATCGCACTTTTTTCACCAGAATAGTTAGCACGGTTATTTTTAATGACGGAAGATTGCAAAATGATAAAACTTCTAACATTTGATAACTTATTTCCGATACTACGACATTCTTGCCAAGACCCATAGTAGAATGACGACGGCCGTTGCGTTTTCCCGCCAAAATGACGCTGGTTCAAGGAAGCGCACTACTTAGTATTGAGAAAATTTGGTCCTCTTCGTCTTCCCTGGTTGTTTACCGTTTACAAAAAAAAAAAAAAATCCGAAAAATGCGGTTGGAAAGTACATGGAACACGACTTTTTCGGTCGTTCCAGCGGAAAAATTTCCTGAACGGAGCAACGGAACATTTCAAAAGGTAGTCCTGGAACGACCCAAAAAAGCTGTTCCAAACGTGTTCCATTTCTTCAAAACCATCTTTAATCTTTTTTTGATACCAGTTTCCAGGGTCGGCCAGGGGGGGTAATGGTATACCAGTATACCCGAAAAAAATTCGCCAAAATACCCCAAATTCAGGGTCCGAAATTAACTTTTTAATATGGGCACCAACTGGTGAGCAAGTATAAATTTTTGGTCGTCAGAGGGCAAATTATGGTCGCCAAAAATTCCCCTTGGCGGCTTGGAAACGTTGAAGTCGTATTGATCGTAGCTCTTGTGGAGGTATATTTACAGGAAGATTCGTTTCACTTTTAAATTTAAAAAATATCAGCAGGACGAAAAGTACGCCCCTGTTGGCAAATAGCTTCGAGGTTTCAATTCTTAATCATTTTCTCTGAACGTGAAAGTCTACAATGACAACCAGCTTTACAAGTCGCCAGCTGGCGACCAGCTATGAAATTCTGGTCGCCAGAACTGTATTTTTGGTCGCATTGGCGACCAGGACGGCACAATTTCGGACCCTGCCAAAATACCCAAAATTATACCCAGGTATACTTTATAGGTATACTTTATAGCTGAAATTCAAAGAAAGTGATATACTGAATACCCGTATTTAAGCTGCAATATACCGTATACCCGATTTAAAAAGCCCCTGTATACCGTATACCCAAAAACCCTGGCCGACCCTGAGTTTCAAGCCTTCGCGGCCGTTTTGCAGGAAATGGAACTGATTTGTACAAATGGTAAACGCGATTCCGGGAGGGAATTTACCAGTCCTGAATTTTGCTTACCATTTGCCTTAATCGTGAACCGACCAGTTTGCCCTTGTAAATGGTAAACAACCTTCCTCTTAGAATCTAAAGTTCTCTGTTAAAAGGCTGCACGTACCATCAGCTGAGTCGCTTCCTTGTCTTTCATTGATGATTTCTTCAAGAGGGACCCCATTGTCTCCCAGGACATCAGCAGTGTCCTCTTTAATAGTTTCATCTAACGGGATTTCTTCAATGTCTTGTTCTTGTGAAGAGTCCTTCGTTGCCGCGTAAGACCTCAGCGGTGTATCTTCAACGAGTTCTGAATGGAGGTCGTTGTCTGCGACTGATTCTAGCGTATCTTCAAAACTTCGAAAATTTTCGACTTCTCTTGGAGATTCAGGGGACGAAACGCTTTTAGCATCTCTTAAAGAAACGAGCGCGCGTATCGTCTTGTTCTGGATAATAAATAAGGATAAGATTAAAGAAATTGAAACAATTGCCTTTCTACGGTGCAATTAGCCCTCATTAAGGTAATCCAAGACAGTCACTGAAGATTGGATTCTGGACTTCGGATTTCTCATAAGCGGAGCTTGGATTTCGGATTCCAATCGTTAAAATGTAAAGGCTTTCTTTCCCGAGGGACAAAGCAAACTGTCCGTAATAAAGAGGTGTCCATAAAGCAGGATTTGACTTTATATTAACTGATGTGCGCAGTTTAATAATATATAGATTTAGCCAGGGCTAAAAGCAAAGCTCTGGTTAATAATACGTGTAAACAAAAAAAATTAAATCGTGTAATGCCAAACGGGGACGACAATGAAAATGGCTTCAAGACTAATAGGTCTAATTAGCAAAAAAACAAATTGCACGTGCAGCACACTTTTTCTTCTAATTAGCAAAAAACAAATTTGCACGTGCAGCACGCTTTTTTGTCTTTCCCTTGCCGTTGTTTTACACGATTACAACGATGTTTTGTACGACTGAAACGTCAAACTTCCTAGTTACACATTATTCTTATGGAGGAATTGTTGCATGTGCTTACCCAATATTTTGTTTCCTGTGTTCATGTTCGCTTTTATTTTTCACTGCCGCTCATTTTCACCTTGCTGGCCGCTAGCATTTCTCATTTTCGCACGGTTGCTTTGAATTTCCATGTTTTTCTTCCTACAAAATTCGTCTCCTTTGTTTTCAATAACTCGCTCTAGCTCTCTCTCTGTTATCCACGTTAGTGTAAACATAAAAAATAATGCCGAAAAAACGCGACTATTTTCTTTCTAAAAGTCCGGGCGGCCATGTGATTTCCTTCCAAATAAGACCTTGAGTTGCATTTGGGTTCCCATACCTGATTGAGTTATTTTACATTGGTATGCCTGTGGTGCGGACGGACGGACGGTCGCTCGCTCGCTCGGTGTGCGGTCACGTGATTACCAAATTTTCTCGGATGGGTAGATTACCACATTTCCTTAGCTATGGGGCTCTACCAAATGCTTATTTTTTATTTCTGCTTATTTGCAGACTTCTAAAGTCAAATAGAAAAAAGCGAACAATTTTGAGTTAGTGTTCAGTAAAGTGAAAAAAAAATTGTGTAATTCCAGTGAGTACTGAAATCACGTGAACAGCTCAGACAGAGTTTCTGTCTTCTGTTTCAATTAGTTGCCCATTCTCTCTCACTCCGTGGAACAAGGTTGCGTGCGGGTAAGCTTTCGTTTACGCATATACTTCAACATATTGTTGCCTGAAATTGCATATTTGCACTTAGGTCTTTCCTTTGATATAATTTTTTCCATGAGAAACTCCAAATTTTGTAATGCTATCGTTTAAAAGCCATACTAACAAGTATATGTACCCACTATGCATATGGCGGCGCAACGAACACGTGTTCCATCGTGGTCTGTGTAAAATTTGTGTTCTGTAAATATTTTGTTATGAAGAAAGTAGTGAAGACAAATTAATTAGAAGGTGCCAAAATAGAATACATACATGGTAAAAAAGAGAAAAAAAAAGACCTTAAACATTGAAGAGATACACCAACGAGGCGTCTCCATATTATACTCTAAGCCCTACATTGTTTGTTGGTAAAACATTTCTCTGAATACCGCTCGCAAACAAAAGTTCACACAGACCTGAAATTAGGCAAGGGTTTTGACGTATTCGTCTTTTACCATCCCTTGAATTGTGAGTTTATTACAGTCAAACCTCGTTAATACGGACACAGAGGGGGCCATACTGATAGACTGCCATATTGATAGACTGATAGACCGAGCGAAGAAGTTCTGACGAAAGACTTTTGAAAAGTCTAAGGGGACCATAGAAAGTGTCCAAATTAACGGGGTGTCCGTATTGAGCGGGTTGAATTTAGAGAAAATGCAAAGGCTTCCTTTCCCCAGGGACAAAGCAAACTGTCTGTAATAATGAGGTGTCCGTAAATGACTGTAAATGGGTTTGGGTTTTATTCTTGAAGGCAAGTCAATGATGGGGCTCTCTAACAGGGTGCATCTAAAAAATAATAACAACGACAAAATACTCACATTTTCCTCGTCATCAGAGACAATAGACTTCTTCTTCCTTCCTCTTTTTGCACCACCTCCCTACAAGTATAGGGAAGAATGATACAGAGGCCCACTTTAATTTGGTTCCGGGAGCTAGCTCTCACTTCAAACTTGGGTTACGAAAGGGGGAGGTGTGAGCAAGAAAAACTTCTGCATACTGTACCCCTCTAGCAAGTGTACAGCTGCCCCTCACATAGAAAAACAATTTGATTTTGTTTGAGGGGAGGGGAGGGCGCGACTGACACAGACTATACCCCTCAAGAACCCCTTCTCTAGGACCACACCTCAAAAGCTTCAAGGAGTTAATGAACTCTTTTACTACTGAACCCTTCTCTTATCTCTTTGACAAAAAATGACTCCAATCTTTAACACTTAAAGCCCTAATATCCACATACAAATTCTCCAGACTCATCTCCATAAATTTTTTGAAAAAAAAAGTAGTAGAGAGAATTTCAGTTAAAATCAAAGCACATGGACCCCCAATAGTGATCATTTTACAAATTCTCATATCCTTTTCTCGTGAGATGTATTGTTACAGTTAGGAAAAAAACTGATATTTGTCACACTTGGAACTTAAAGGGTTTAAAATCACTTCTGACTTACAGCTTTTCTGAGTGGTTTTATTTCTGCCACTTTTGGTTTGGTGGAAGCTCTGTTGAGAGAAAGAGTAACACTTGAGTAAAGGTCGGTACACACTAGGCGTGGTGACAGATCACTCCAGGTGTACATCTCAGGCGACTAGTTTTAGCAACACGGTCAGGCGACATGTTGCAGTGACAAATCGCTTCCTGTGTACTGGAGAATTTTTTTGAAAATATTTGTCTCCGCAACAGAATTTTGTCGCTGCAACGAGTTGCAAAAAATCAAATAGGACTGAATTTGTGTGACTTGTTGCAGAGACAAAATTCTGTTGCAGCAACAAAGATTTTCACAAAAATTCTCCCAGTACGCATGGAGCGATTTGTCGCTGCAATGTGTCACCTAGTGAGTACCAACCTTAATGAGGTTGATGTAGAAGATTCAGAAAGGGCCACACTTGCCAGCTATTTTATCTCGGTGAGAATTCTTTACGAACAGAAAACTTCACAGAAAAAGGGAGGGCCGTGGTTTCCCTTGGACCACCCTTTAATCTGTCCATGATTATATTTAATAACTATTAATAATTATTCATTTTTCCTTTGTTATTCTTTGAAGTAAAGCTAAAACAAAATAGGAAATAATTTTTTTAGGGAATTAAAGATTCATTTTAAGGACTGAACAAGGACTTTTAAGTTAAAACTCAATAATCTTTAAGATTTTTTGTGTCATTTGTTTTGTTTGTTTTTCTTTTCAAACACTGACACACAGTTTTATTGCTCAATTGTTTCAACTTTCACTCCAAAACAGTGTACATTGTATATTCATTTCTTAACAAAAAATATTGCAATAGACAGATTTAATACCTTCTTGGTGTTAGCTGGGCAGCAACTCCCTGATCATTATAGCAGACGGATTTATCAAAGCTGTAATGAAACAAAAAAACAACAACAACATCAACAACGAGGCAAAGTTAATGACCTAGCTAAATGCTAACCCAATGAATACTTTGGGTGTGTTTCTGTTTTGTTTGATCGAGACATGTAGGTTTACATATTTTTTAAATATGCACTATAAACAGCATAAGCTCTCTAGATGAGCCCTTTGCGCTCTTAGATGAAATGTTGAAAATAATAATAATGATAATAATAATAATAGTTATAATAATAGTTATAAATTTACTATAGCACCTTTTAACATAATTAAAAAGTTATCAAAAGCGCTTTACAATTTAAAATTTATACAATGAATCTATAACTAGATAAAACTGATAAAAGTAAAAATCCTGATAAAAATACATAAGTAAAATAAATATTGTCCAAAAATAATTAACAAAATACATACAATCTTTCCCTTCCTACTGCAACATATTGGCCATTAGAATCAAGCTGAGATGGTTCTGTGATTTTGTGACCATCCACAGTGAACAACCTTAAACATGAACAGAAAAACAAATCAAAAGTCCTGAAAATCATCACTTTTGATTAACTTGTACATAACACTCCCTAGCCCACATTAAAAAGAAAAGAATTTAAGACTGACACAAAAAATATACAAAAGTGTACAAAAAAGGAAGGTACAACTTCTTTATCAGAAACGAATTTCCCTAGGAAACTTAAAATTTTGGGGGCACTGAAATAAAAAAATTCTAATCAGTGCATTTTGAGCAACCAGGGAAACAATTTTGGCTCGAAGAACACAATTTTTATTTACCGGTACCTAGAGCTCTATTACCTTTATGATTTAAATTGTTTGAATATTTTCATTGTGTTTTTAACAAAGGTCTTGATAACGCAATTGCAATGACAATTTTTTTTCCTCTGAAAATCTGGTGCTTAATAGCACGGAGCAATATTATTTTTGCCAGTTGCTGGCACTTCGAGATAGTCAAGTGCAACATAAATCATTCAAGGCATCTTTTCTGAATGGTATATTTTTATTACAAACTGCAATGACAGGAGGTGATTTTCAATCAAAATACAAAGTAAAAACTTTACTTCACTTACTCATAAACAGCACCATTCTTGCTGATCGTACTCACTTTCTCATTCACACATTCTAGAATCTGACAGTAATAGGTTAAGCATCAGTATTTACTAAGCTGAGCATTTCAAGTAAGAAAATTATTCACTCTGTAAACATTTTACCGCTGTACATGTACAAACATAACTTTACACAATATGTACAATTATTATATGATTGTACATTGATCTACACACCAGCTAACAAAACCAATTCACCAATTAAGGAACTGCATAACTGGAACACTCTGTCGACAGTAGTAAAAATAATAAGAAAGTGGCCTTTCTCCCTCTGTCATCTGTAATTCCTGCACAATTCTCCTGCACAACTTTTTTTTCCCCACAACCTGTCTGCTATTAACTATACAACGTAGCCTTGGAAAATACTGATTGTTAATTGCAGTCTTGTATTAGCAAAGTTACCTCACCTGAGGCATCTTGAAGTCTGTCCTAAGTTGGACTCTTTTAGGTTTTGCAACAACTCCATTGCAAAAAACACTGAAATGAAAATGTTTCGTCACTTTTACAATATTTACAATATACTATTGTCAATAGTCATTTTTTTTTATAACTTTACCCATTCACGCCTTCTTAAGTACTACCATTTTTGCCAGATCCCTCATAACACCACGCGTGCTCTGATTGGCTGTTTTCCTGTAATTACTAGGCAATATTTTCTAGTAATGACTGGGTATTAATACAGTGCCTGTCAGAAACGTTGAAAAACTTGTGTGCATTTCCCCTTCCCCAATGTAGATTTGGCTATTACAGTGGTCTCCAAAATACACGTGGCTCAACACTGGGGAAGATGAGGGGCACATTTGAGAGAGAACAAAGGTGTGAAGAGTGAATGTCAGAAATTTTTAAGAAAATTCCAGAGAAACAGTTTCTGTTTCAATGATTTGCGATGAGTATTGTAGCTAGGTGTCCAAGGCATATACAGTCTGTATCTAACTGGATAGTGGACATCCTTATCTGGGACATCCATGTTATGGTTGAATGACAGCTGTCAAAAAGGGTATCTGCTGACCAGTGTCTCCAACAAACAAAAACAGGGCGGGAAAGGTGGAGAAAAAAAAAAAAACAAACCAGAGAAGAGGGAAAAAAAGATAAAGGTGCAGGGGTCAGTCTCACTGATTATAAACCAAAACGTTATCTTAAAATTTACTATGTGTACATGCCCCAACCTTATGGGCATGGTTCTCAGCTCTTAAACAACAATTTACAGTGTATTTAGGCACATTTTGCTCAACTTCAAACAGCATTCTTCAGCAAACATTCTGGCCAGAGTTCAGGGGGTTTAAAAAGTGAAATTTTTGCAAAGTCTTACTTCTGCAGACCCATGATAATTAATACATGTATTTGTGTGATTGAACTCAAAATAATAAATTACGGTACACACAAACATTTTGGGGTTGTGATGTAACCATCCTTAAGTTGTGTTCAGTGAACTTTGTAGCAATTTTGCTACTCTCTGTGTGTGCTTTTGGGTGAAGTCTTTAGTCACAAGTCATGAAAATCCATTGCAAGATATAAGAGTGCAAAGTGGTTATAATATTAACACTTATACTCATATTGTCATTTCTGTGTTTTGGGGGGGTTTTGTATAAAAAGAAAATAGCCCAATAAATTATGTACTTTCAGTTTATACAAGACCACCATACACCTTCCTCCAAAGTCAAATCTTTAATCTGATAGGCTATTATAGCAACACAAATATTAAACATTCCACATACAGTACATGGTACAGTTCTAAGATCATGCAGGCAGTTTCAAAAGAAGGATTTTTGCTATCTGGTCCCTGTTAAAAGTTTAAAATACCATGGAAGGGTCTATGGCCAGAGAATCTTTTGCCATCTACTTCTATCTGCACAGTCAAGTAGGGACCTCCAGTTAGAGCCCTCTTTAGTGAGAGTCGCTTACAGCTGGAGTTTATTTCAGTCAAACATTGATTTGTAACTTATTTTTGCCTGGGATTTAGCTGTTGTCTGTATTATCAGGTTGTCTGTTTGACTGGGGGTGTTTTCAAGGCTAGAGTGGACTGTATTCATACCCTTGATTGAACAATTCAGAGAACATGATTTTGTTTAATCCCTCATATTCAATTAGTAATGGTAACAGGACTGAGTGGAGTCCAACTTGGTCTGTAATCATACGAGTGATTAACAAAATCGGACGACCACGTAGCGGGAGTCTGATTTGTTTAATCACGAGTATGATTACAGACTGAATTGGACGACACGAAGTTCTGTTACCAATTAATCATAACTTTAACAAAATTTGTGATATACGAGGCTCTTTTTTTAATCAAAAGACAAGAAATTCCGAGATTTTTTTTGCTAGCAGTGAAAAAAAAAAGCCATTTAAGCACGCGCGTGATGGCACGTACTGTCCAATTACTTAGGCATGATACGTACTGTCCTATTTAACTGTCCTATTAAGGCTGAAATCAGAGCAGTTGATAGCCAATCAGATTTAAGAATTTTGTTATAGTTATGATCACAGACCAAATTAGATACCACTCAGCCCTTTACACTAATATTTTAACAACCTACAGTATTCTTAAAATACTCACATGATAGTTTTTATCTCTTCTCTTTTCCTTTGACCATAAATACGGGCTCTGCCAGGTACATTCCTGAACTTGCGATGATTGAGTTGCACAAAATTTATCTGTACATAATAATTTCGTTAGAAGGGGAGAACCAAAGGTTTATTAAAATAACTCAAGCTGGCCCTGTATCCATGGATACAAATCTGGATATTTTTGACACAGAGGCAGATTCACTGGTTTTGTTGAACAGAAAGCTGTCTCGTGTAAGGAAAAATAATAGGTTTTTACAAGAAACCGGATTCATGTCGACGGGGCATAAGTTTTTAACTTAAATTGAATGCATTTGCTTTTTTACACGTCCTTTTTGTACATACTATGAAGAAAAAACAATCAATTTAAGACAATGAATTTAACAATAAATTTAACAATTATGGTATGGAATTATCATTTTATATCCGCGCGATGGTTACCGCCTTTGCGGATTAATAAAGTAAAAGTAAAAAGTAAAAGTAAAATGCAGTTACATTTTCTTTTCCACTACCGTTGAGAGCCACATAATCGAATCAAGCTGGGAAACTTTAAATATTTAATCTACAGGCTTAAGTATTTTAATATTTAATGTAAAAAGTTTAGCAACCCTATCACTAAGAAGTCTCAAGGGAATCGATTAATAAAGTAGTAAAATTTCCATGACATAATTAAGCTTAGGGAGCACAGCGTGTATTCTGGACAGAACGAGCAAAATTGCAGGTTATGCATTTATGATTTAATATATGTGAGCTTAAAGTAATTAAAAATCGCGTCAGCTGATCCAAAAAACTGAGGGGTTGGATATAAGATGACGATTACCACGATAATTTCGCCCTACCTCTGGAAGTTTAACTTGTTGATGTAGAGGTTTTTCTTTTACTTCATACCTAGAGTAATAAAAATGAGAATTGCCAGCTAAGCAAAATTAAACATGCTCCTCATCCATGGGCGATCAAAAAGCAATACTCAAAGTGCTAATCCAAAAAACAACAGATCGATGGCGCGATCGCAAACAAATCGATTAGCTTACTCTACTTTCTTGAACGGTCCTCTACCGACAACAACATAACTACAATCTCTCTGTAGATCGTCGAGTGTGTTGATACGATGTCTGCCTAGTGGAGTCCGTATTTCACGGGCAGGTGTACGAAAGCTCAGTGAAGCAGCGTCGAGGAAGGATTCAAAACTTTTCATGTCTCTTTGGTTCACCACGATGCGCTTTCTCTTGAAGGAGTCCCCGTTTAGATGGAGAAATACGGGCTTTCCCATCATGTTTAAGCCCCTTACGTGAGCAGCCATATTCGATGAAGTTTCTCTTTCTTCACTTAGAACTTCTAATTAGGATTTTGATATTAAAATCACAGATTTTCGTAATGATCGGCATAGATCGCGATCGGTCGTGCATCTCGCTTTGCGCTCTGTGACCTCACTAATTGCGCGATCATTATGGGATGCATACTTCTCATTTGTTTACCTTAGTGACACATACATAGAAACAAATTATTTGAACAGATTTCATTACTGGAGCCGGTGTAATAACATTTTTAACAAAGAGATCTGAGGTATGCCTAATTGCTGTACTTAAAAAAAAAAAAAAAAAAAAGAAAAGGTTTTATTGCTTATTGAAATAAGGACAGAGAGGAGTGATACGCCGTCGTATTTAGTTAAAAAGTTTTTGAAAATCACAAGGGTTTAAAAGTTGATATCAAGTAGCTTGTTTCGTGTTCATTTACTACTCTCGAAGACTTGGGCTCTTTTATTTTTGAAAACGACACGAAAAAGGCAGTTTATCAGCCTTCTGAGGACTTTGTTTGTCCGATTATAATCCATCGGGTTATTAGAAAACTGCGGACTCCGAAAACCAGCTTCGGGTAATTCTCGCTTTGTCACTTTATTAATATTTCAATTGGGGTTTTCGCAATCGGCGCAAATTTATAGTACGAAACCTAAGGAACGAACCATTGAAAAACGTATGAGGGGTACAGGCGAAGTACAAAGTTAACTATTCGCGAGAGGGAAAATTAAATGAAAAAAAAAGAGAAATGGCTCAAAAATTCTTCACCCGCACCCCATAACTTTTCTAATGGTCCGTCCAAAAAGCCCGTATTTTAATATCTATCTTCAATCACTGGTGACTTTATTTGATTTACCACAAAATACAAATAACGATAAGACAAGACAGTCACACAAAAGCAAATGAAAGTGGCGAGGAAGCCCAAAAAGAAACCAAGAGGCTTATAGGAATTGGGCTCCCTCAGAGTAAAAATAAAGTTAACAGTAACAGTAGGGCCAGGATCGAAAGTAAAATACAAAGAAGGTAAGTATAAATTAACTAATTACATAGACTGAGTTGACAAAATATAAGGTATGGTACATGTAACAATAAGTATAAAAATAATATCAGACATGTGAAGAAGTATAACTATTCACTACAAGATTTGTAGCTAATAATTCATATATAATTTTTTTTCAATTTCGTTTTGAATAAGTGGAGAGAATTAGATTGGTGAACAAGGCGTTAAATTAAGTGTATTTAACACTAATTTCAACTTATCCATCTTGCAAGACTAAAAAGGGACCTTCACGCCACCAACATGCAGAGGCCCAATCTGAAATCATTCACCGTAATCATTTTGAAAATAACAGTGCACGAAATTTCTGAACAAATTAAAAGTGTACCAGACATTTCCGAAACGGGGTCTAGCGATAAAACTTGGTGTTCCTGTGTAGTTGGTAGTGCTGTGCGCATTATCTAGGCTAAATGTCGCCAGCCTCATAAGCGCAGCTTCATACTGCGCTGTTTCTCACGCACGAGCACTACGCAGCATTGAGAAAATCTCGTACTCGTAGTCGTACTCGTCTTAGAAGCTTAAGGTCTCTAATAAATACCCCGCGGTTTTTATTTTCATTCCCGCGCTCGACGATCTCTTAGAGTGGATTTTCACTGTCGAGTAACTCCCCTGAGTGCGTACTAGAGACAATGTATCGAAAGGTCGCACGTAAACATAAAAGTTGAACACCTCCATTTTATTTATACGAGTAAAATTTACTTGCGCGCACGTAAAAATTACACGACATTGAAAATCCAATCTAAAAAGAGAGTGTCTGTGAACAGGCAAATGCGGGATTAAGCTTTTTCGCTACCATTTGAGGTATTTTTAAGCTCGCAAGCCCTTAAATCGGCAGGGTGTCTACATTTTTATTATCGCCTATCTGAAAATTCAAATTATAACCGGCACTTCAGTAGGCCATTTTACAGTTGTGGGCTTAGTATCCTAACCTTTGAGTGAATGTGAGGCTGAGGGTGACCTTGTTTCGATACAACCTCCTTCCTTCGGGAACCTCTGAAGTTCGATTCTGGCTTAGAGCAGGACGGAACAAACAACCGGACTTAGAGGAGTTTGAAAGATTGAAGGAGACTATACAAGAAGAGAGCCATTTAAACCTATAAAAACGGATAGCGTGGACGGGAAAAGTGATTTGGGGGATGGCAATTCAGTTTATTTTGAAATAAAGGAATTAAATTAAACGGGTGTCCGTTTCTAAAAACGTGAAAAAAGCCCTCTTTTTTCCCTAAAGAGCAAGCCCATTTGTTCTTCCTCGTTATAACACATTGTTTAGGCGGGCTATGGAATACGTCCTCTCCTTACCGAGCCAACCCCTCCCGTCCCCTCCCCTCTACGAGACATCAACTTAACACTTGAACTCTTGCCCCCAAGAAGACACGTGGTAGGCCAGGGCTTAAATGAAGCCCTGCCAGGATAAATTCCGACAAGCGACATGACCCAAAAAGTAGCGACAGAGCCTAAAACGAAATGGCGACAAGCGACAACCTCCCTCGGCCAAATTGCGACAGTGACGGCAAAGCCGAGAATATGCGACAAAGAACGGTGGTTTGGCTAATTTATCACCAGTCTGAGTGCCAAGAAGAAGTAATTTTCGTCAATTTTCCTTGCGCTTCAGAGGTTGTCTCTCGTCCTTTTTCAAAAAGGATTCACCAGATCAAAAATCCGAATTTGGATTTGCCGAAAGGAACGTGAAATCCGTTTTAAGATCCAAATCCGTTTCTGAATTCACCGAAAGGAACACACCCTTAATTGTGAATGGCGATGTATAGGTGTTCTATACGCGAAAGGTTAACTGAGAAATTGCTCAACTGTAATGGTTTCTTTAAAACCCATCGCTATCCCCCTTTTCTAAAATTCCGACAAAGACAAAGAATTTTCGTTCAATTTCCGACAGCGACGTGAAGCATTAATAAACACCGACACGAGACGTTTTAAAATTCAGACGAGCGACATGGGAGCCCCCCCTGGCAGGGCCTCTTAAATCAAAGTACGCGGATATTTTTCACCAGAATTTTCTTTGGTTGTTACGCCATATTGACGAGCCCCAAAGAGGGCGAAACAGCTGTCTATGGCTACAATCCCGCTCTGTTTTGAGGTCTTTCTGTGTCGTGTTGATGTCTTGCAGAGCTAGTTAATTTTCAAGTAGTACGATCAGCATTGCAGTATTCTGCTTGCAGAATTTAATATGCCTCCCTAGATAAATGATTGCAATGTCCCTTTCTGAATTTAATGATTTGAAACCAAGGACAAAACGACAAAAGTGAGTTAAGGCCGTGCTTTAATTGCTTTGAGATCGTGAGAATGAATTATTTCAGTGCTGATTATTTTCCGCTTCCAGTACTACACCCAAACTACCAAATCTCGAGTTGTTTTTTTTTTTCTTACTGTAAATGTTCGTGCCCAAGTTTCGACTCTCGCGGGTTGAATGTAATTAGGTTGCGTTCTTCGACTTCGAACGCAAAAATAATAATGAAATAAGTGACAAGGCAAAAGTACTTGGCAAGTGCTTGTGATGCAGTCCGTCATAAAGGTTTTTGCATTGTCATCCAGCCAAGGCAATGCAAGGCAATGCCGAACTATCGGCTTGTAGGGTAGTGCAACTTCTTCTCCGCAGCCTTCTCACGCATCTGTGCTAAATAAAATGCACGCAGAAAATCTCTTCGTTCACCTTTAAAGACAACAGAAGGAAGAATGAAGATGTTTTAGGATTTTTGATGTTTGCATGTCTGGTATGGGGGGGTTGGGGGGGGGGGGGGGGGACAGTCAGAAAAATAATTTGTGACTTACCCGTGGGGGGGGGGGGCACTCCCTTAATTGGCCTAAACAGATATGTGTAGGACTCCTGGTCTGTGCTGCCAATTTGTGATTACGAAGTTTTTGCGAAGTTTTCTTCAGACGTTTCTGCGTGTAGTAGCGAGAAACCACAAAACAAATCATGATCAGTTTAAGGCTATGTTCACGGCCCTGGGCAGATTTTAGTCTAGACTAGGGAAACCGGAAATTGTCACTATAAAATATAAGAAAAGATCAGTTCGGCATGTTTAAATTTACGCAACTGAGCATAAAAGCTACTCTAGGGTAGGGTGATTTGGGGAGTTTAGCCTAGTATAGGGTAGCAGTATTCAGCTGAACTAGTTCTGGTATTGGCTAAGGGTTCCACGGTCCCAGCAGCACATCCCACCCAAAAATTCCTAAAGTGCCTCCCTGCCCCAACTCAGGTGGATAACAGAGAAAGAGCTAGAGCGAGTGGTGAAGAAAAACATGAAAATTCAAAGCGGCTGTGAGACAATGAGATATGCTAGCGGCCAGCAAAGTGAAAATGAGCGACAGTAAAAAATAAGAGCGAACGTGAACACAGGAGACAAAATATTGGGTAAACACATACGACAATTCCTCCATAAAAATAATGTGTAACTAGGAAGTTTGACGTTTTAGTCCTACAAAAGCTTACAAAACAGCGTCGTAGTTGTGCAAAACAACGGCAAAGAAAGACAAAAAGCGCGCTGCACGTGCAAATTTGTTTTTTTGCTAATTAGAAAATAAAAGTGTGCTGCACGTGCAATTTGTTTTTTTGCTAATTAGATCTATTGATGCCATTTTCATTGCCCTCCCCGTTCAGCATTACACGATTTAATTTTTTTCGTTTACAAGTATTATATATTAACCAGAGCTTCGCTTTTAGCCCTGGCTAAATCTATATATCACTATACCAGAGGCACAAAAAGCTTTCCGGCATACTGTGAACTTGGACTTAATTTTTCAAGCGTTGGCATGAGGCGAAATCATTTTTCATCGACCTTGAGCTGGAAGATCGAGAAAGTTATAACATCAAAGTTGAGGAGCTTTTTAGTGCATTTTGAAAGTTTTACCCACTATATATTTTGTATCTTCAGGCAGACATTAGTACCCAGAAATTATAGAGGACATTGAGGGGAAGTGCAAGAAGCTATATTCGTTCACTTGTTGTTATGCCTCGTTCCTTGGCGTCTCATATCCCCGTCAACGCCCTAAGATATTCCTCCCCTGTGCCACTTTTTATAAACAATACTAAGGTCCTGTCCACACCAATGCGTTGTCACATAGCTCTTTCTCTCTTGGTTTTCAAAAGTATGCGTTTTCGTTGTCATCGACAAAGCATCGATAGATTAGTGTCCACACTAAAACGTTCGAAAACGATAGAATTTGCTCGTTGTCAGTGACGTAGGTTGAACTCTATCTATGAAAACACACGCGTCTGGGATATTTTTAACCGTCGTTTTCATTCTGCTGCGTCCGGCCGTTTCCAAATTCGTTGTAAGGTTTTTTTTGCAATTAAAATTATTGTATTAATTTAAGTTCAATGGTTGTGCGTTTAACTCCCCCAAGGGCTTACTCTCGGTCTGTCGTAAACCCGGTTTTCACTCTGCTGTAGAGTAATTGCAGAATATGACCAATCGAACATATTCAAGGTAAACTTATAAAGATTAGTTTTTTAAAATGATTACCTTTTTGCATTGCTGGTAAAGTGGCCTGGCATCCCGATTCTGTGCAATATGCCATTTGCGGACAGCCTACAAATGCTCGGAGACACTTTTTCTTTGCTGCTTCGTATCTTTTCTTGGTAGAACACCCGCGCAGAACTTTCACTATCGCTCCGGTCTTAGTCAAGGTAGCCTCACAAACCGGGTATTGCTCTAAGCATCCCTGGTCGACAGCTTTGTCGTCGCAAACCTTCAATGCGTCGTCTTCATTGTTCCCTAACGCGTCACACGAAGGACACTTGAACACTGAAGAGCGAATAACAACCAAGGTGTTAAAGTCAATGCCTTAGAATACAACATTGTCACCTGAAATTTTTTCCCTTGCTAGTTTATAACTAGGAAACAGCCTATGCAGTACACGTCCAGGTTAAACAATGCTAAAGCATGCAAGTTTTTGAGACAAAAGTTGTGTTCCTCTTTCCTGCTAACCATATTGGATAGGGCTTGTGTGATTTCGCGGCTTTATTGGTTTCCGTAACGGAGCGAAGACTAGCTGAGCCGATCTCTGCGGTGGAGAGCTACATATCGGATAGGTGTTTATACTATACCAGAGGCACGAAAAGCTTTCCGGCGTGGTGTGAAATTGATAGCTCACTTCGGAAAAGAGTGATAGCCTGGGACCCAAACTAAGTGCGCGTGTAATTATGGGATTGTTTAATTATATTTGTCGTGTGCCTTTGTGCACAAATAACTTTAGGAACTCGCCTGGTCTGGCATTTTATAGAATACGAAAGGTAAGACGTATCCAGCGAGAATATGTGCTTTTGCTTCGAAACGCTAATTTGAATTTGAACTGCGATAGCACACGATGCATTCTTCTGGTTCTTCTCGAGGTAAAATCGCCCCAGCTACACCTTCTTTCATCTTCACATTTTTATGTTTTTTTTTCTTTCAATTTCTCGCTCCGTTTTGCTACTTTCAGCTGTTTTAAACCAGATGAAACATTCCAGTTCGCTTTCCGCCATGTTTGTTTACATTCGTGTCTCCCCAAATAATCTCATAAATGCGCGCGCGCCTAGTTCGGGTCCCAGGCTTTCACTCTTTTCCGAAGTGAGCTATGAGGCGATATTAAGCAGTCTTAAGCCATGCATACCTGGCTCGGGTAAAGTGGCATTGCATCCAGATTCTGTGCAAATTGCCCTCAGTAGGGAGCAGTTCAATTCTTGTCGGCCGGATTTCTGATTTTGTTTGCACTGTTGGTTTTGTTCGTCATGTCTTCCTTCTGTGGAACACCAGCGATTTACTCTGGCTCGTCCACTTCTGAACACATTCAGCACGACCTCACATACTGCCGGTCCGTCTTCATCGCAAACTTGGTTGACAACGTTTTTGTCACACGCCTTCAATGCGGCATGCTTATCTTTCCCCCCCGCGTTGCAACTAGGGCAATACGAGGCTGCAAAGTAACAATTAGAATGTCAAACTTAAAGCAATAGACTTTATTTCCCGGGGGGGTACGCCCTATAATGGCGCATACGGGGGGACTCCGCCCGAAAGGGTTACCTATTGCAGGCTTCAGGTATGTGAAAGGTTAGGGATTTCACTAGTAGTACTGTATGAAAGTGTAAAGAAAACTGTCATTAAGGTCAGTAAAAAGGGCTAGCAGATGCATTTTATGGGGCAAGCTGGGCAAAAGTCAAGAAAACGCTCTGATCTTTTGATTAATTCATATTGTTTATACTACTAGATGAGAAATTTCAGCTGCAATTTGATTGGCTTAGCGCAGTGGTAATTCAGCTTAATTTGAAATTCCTACATGTGAAAATTACAAAACCTTTGCGGGTAGTAGCATAAACAATTAATATCAAGATGTGTATGTGATTTTTGACAGAAATATCACTAGTGACATTTGAAAATTGTCTCAAATTTCACTCGCCTAGCAGCTTGTGAAATTACGTATAACAATTTTGAAATATCACTCGTGGTATTTATGCCAAATATCACTACAAATCATGCCCTTACCTATACTAAGACAGCACAATTACAGCAGTTAAATAGAGGATATTACACGGTGGCGCGAAGATATGAATTTTATTTTCGAGTGGCAAAACAATATTTTACGAAAGAGCGCAGCGAGTGAGTAAATTATTGTTTTTGCCACGAGAAAATAAAATTCATATCTTCAAGCCGCCGTGTAATGTTCTTTTTATTACATAGACAAAAAGACATCGATAAAATAATAGAGGGAAATTGCCGAAATTATGTCATCGATAAACCGACGTGGAGATTTTGGAAAATAAACCACTCGGGTCCCGGATGTAGCGTTTATGAATTTTACGAGTGGTATATTTTCCAGTAAAACACTCGTGTCTATATAATAACAGGGATTAATGTAAAGTTCTAAACCAGGTATATAAAAAGAGAAACCATTTGTCAATAGAACGTATACGAAAGGGGCACATTGTTTTCTGTCATAAATTGTATATAAAAGGGTAAGAGTTTGGACCTAAAGGGTAGAGCCACCTTGTTTTCCTGTTGTCCAGAATAAACAAATTCTACCTCGATTTCTTGTATGGGGAGATTTTTTCAGTTGTTGTTTGTCCCCAGCCTCGTACCCAGGCCAGTTTGCGCTATCCGAGTTACCAGAGGAGGCTTGGAGCCGAGTGCAAGCTTGACAGATGACGTCACATCCGAAATCGCCGAGGACGACTGGGAACGAGGCTGGCTTGTCCCCTGAGAAACTACGCGACGTGACATTGGTTTTATCCTATTAATCCATTAACGCGAATAAAGATGGTGGGTATGGTAAATAAGGTCTAGTATACTGACAATGGAATATTGCCCAATGAATTGGCCTAATTGAAAGCTTACCGAAGGGACCCGACCAACAGAATCTTCTTCGTCGTAGGGGTGAGGGGTAGTATAAAGATTTTAAGTTTAATGCCTTAAGTAACCTGGGGTAGGGGTAAAAAAAAAAAAAAAGAAAATACTGTGCGTCTAGATATAAAATTTACCAACATCCTCGGCGTCGGAATTCTTTATGATTTTAAATTAAGCAAAGGAAAATGTCTATATTACCTTCGGCGATTAAGCCAAGTATCATACAGGAAAGCACCGCAGCTCCCAAGTAAAATTCTCTTGCTACCATTTTTGCACCTAGAGGTAGGAGAAGAATATTATTACTGTGATTATTTTATTTTTTTATGGTGATTTTCAATGTACATTGCACGTCACGAAAGACCCGTATTCGTAACTTACAAAACTATTTTCAGAATAAAATTGCTTGTGGATCAATATTTCTCCTTAAGACTAGTTTTGTTAGGCTCGACTAACACTACTTGAAAAATACTGCACCTTTGTCCATCCCTCCCCGGGTGACAGAAGAATGCGGAAGCGGGGTCGGGGCAGGTGCCGGGGCCTGGGCCGAGTTCTGGATCTATCTTTTTTTAAAGAATGCTGTTTTACGCTTACGGTTAGGGTTAGGGTGAGGGTTAGCGTCAG